CCAACGGGGCCGCCGACTCTGGCCGACAATGACCGATTTATTTTCCATGCATCCTCTGTTGTTTTGGTTACTGTAATTTGTTACATTTACCACTACTGGATGAACATTTCACCACGTGTTTTTGGACGCCAGATTTAGTTTGACCATACTTCACCATGTTGGTCATTGTTGGATGATAATAATAATGTCCACTTGTGATGCGCCACTGCACAGTATTCACTCGCTCACGAATAGAGAGTCCTGTACCGCCGTTTTACATGCATTTTCGATTCTCAATCCTTGGGCCAACTTGCTCCTGATTAACATTCGATTTTCCACGTTTAGATCTCAGAGGTGATTGAATTCGCCGGCTTCTAGGCTTGTTGAGCCACTCGGAGCGAAATTAATGCAAATTGTAGCCAAAGCAAAGCGTGAGCTCGAATGTTTGTCCGTGTTCTCTTCAAACCACCAGTCGAAGGCCGTTCTCTGCCCACTCTGACCGTGCGCAGGCCCTGGCCGTCGGGGAGGCCCTCTGGCCCTCGTGGTGCCCAGTCGGCCACGTCGACGGTTGAGTCCCCCCCCTTCTGCCGTGATCCTCTGCAGGCGGTGAAACCAGCAGCCCGTCGTTAACAATGGGAATGATTGGTAAGGGAACACATTTGGCTCTACAGAGGCACTACACTATTATGCACCACTACTATACAGTACACATTTGGCTGTATGGAGGCCTGTCGTTACTCGTTAACAGGGGGTGGTCGTTAAGACGGGTTCTACTGTATATAACAAGTTTAAATATTTAATAAGTTAATAGAGAGTACTCAACAGAGATGGCGGAGGAGTTTGCGTGTAGAGAGGGTGTTGGTGTACAGTACGGCGAAGTTGTAAATACTGAGGTTTGGGCGCCCGCTAGGGAATTCCGTGGCATGGTGGTCGTCACACACGCTGCCAAAACTACTGCCTTTTGTTATTTTTCAAAACAAGGTTGGTGAATTGATGCTTTTTAATTCGAATTGCGTTCCCTAATTCGTTAGCCATGTTCGAGTGAAACAACATGATAAGGCGGCATTGTTGAATGTGAGTTTTCGTTTATTTATTTTTATTTGTGCTTGTGCACCACTGCCAATACATTATCACGATGTAATTTCGTCAAGGGCTGGTCAGATGGAAAACCCGAGGAGTCCCAGATCTTGGATGTGTGGTGCAGAAGATAGGACACAGTCCACCCCCACCCTATGCAGTGGCTTATGGATATTTTTAGACTTGTGTGTTTGGATGTCTTAAATATTTAATTTCGTCACTATTAATGAAATAAGTAATTAAGCTAAAAGTAATAATGAAAGTTAGAAAATAAATAGCCAACACCCATTTCATTACTGCTTTCTGAAACGATTTCGGACTGGTGGTTAGTTGACTTAAATTTCTGATACGCTAATGCGTTATAAGCATGAAAGTCTGACGCGTTGACTCTCGTCCTCCACAACCTTGAAAAGTCAACACCCACCGTCGTTGGACATGCAGTAAGCCACTGATGATTAGCCATACAGTACTTAGGGGTTTGTGTGGATGCCCGAGATTCAGAAACCACAGAATCCGCATCGCGGTCTCTGTTCACGCGACGGAGGCATCGAAGCGCAGAGTTCAAAATGCAATGCGGGGGTTTATTGGATTTGGGGGTTAAGCGTGTCTTTAAAACGATGTTAATCTCAGGCGTGATGCCTCCACTCGTTATGCATTTCATAATCGAGGCAGATTAAAACCGCATCCCGCTCCATCCGACAAAGATGTGCATGTTAATACATACTTAATCATTGATTAACCGAGATTGATTACCAGTTAGGTTCAAGGAGCTATTCTGCTGGAATTCCAATTGTCTGGTAAATGTGGCCCATTCATTATTTACAGTCGTAGGTGGGCGGTATAACCTCGTCAAGCTGGACAATCAGTCGTGTGATATCTCTGCCCTGTAATTTTCCTGCAAGAAAAATATTTAATGCTCTTTTTTTTTTTTACCAAGATGTCTACACCTCTGCTGCCCGAAGTATTTGTGGCATGGAATACTTCACTGGCCCTGGGCCCCCCCCCCCCCACCTCCGGGTTGGGGCCGGGACGCCTCACCAGCCTCTGCTGTGCGCTGGCGAACCTGGACAAGTCCTCTGTGCAACTATTCACCCCCCCCCCATAATGTGCATGACCGCGGTACCGTTTTAATTCCGTGGTGAAGGGATGAGGAAAAGGGAGAGGGCAAAGCATTCAGCGTCGCCGCACGCAAGCAACGTGTTTATCACACAGTGGTCAAAATATAAAAATCCATATATATGCGAGAGAGGTTGTGGACAGGAGTCTGTTTTGCTTTGTTTTTGAAAAACGCAGGAAAGCAAGCTTGTGCGGATGACGGTCGACAGGCACGCGGTCCCCACGTTGACACAAAGCAGGCGTGGAGCCACGCCGTGGTCACAGCGCTGCACCGACTCGCGTGTAGGTTGTGATGGCCCAGTTGTAGAGAGGAATGCCGGAGCTTCGAGCTGATGTAGCCGAATATAGGATCGAGCAACTTGAGCGTTACCCTCGACCCCCTCCGGAAGGCTGTACGCTTTCACTTGGCATTCCTGTCCCTTAGCGGCCAGTCTGTTGTACGCCTCCTCAAGCTCCAGCAGCCTGGCTTCGTGGGTCTTCATTCCGCCACTCTGCTCGTCTAGCATAGTGTGAAGGGTCGTATATGGCTACCTCCTGCTTCTCTACCCTCCTGAAAAAGTTGTTCGACCTCTCGTTGTTGACCCAAAGAAGTGCAGTATTCTCTTTCGGTTTTTTTTCCAGAAGGGCTTGTAAGAGCTGTCGTTCCTTCCACTAGTGTCTCCGGGAACAACTTGAATGGGGAGGCCAGCGGAGACGAAGCCACGTCTTTTTTTCCCAGGGGACCTGTCTTCAATGGAGCACGAATATACGGAGAGAAAGTCCCCTTGCCCTAGTCACTAGCTCAGCCTCGAGCTGCTTACTGAGGACCCTACACATAAGGAGTCAGTGGAACGCCCTAGGAAGCTCCAAAGTATAAAACCAGCTATCCAATGCCCCCTATAAAGTGCACGAGGCCAGGTATAAAAATAAGAAAACTATCAAATAGGTAAGCAAGTGGTTTTGTCGGGTTTAAAAGTTATTTTTTTATGTAGGGGTAGGAGTGGTCATTGCTGCTCACTCGGCCATGACGTCACCGTAACTCGTTTGATTAACACTTTAAAAATAAAAAAAAGTCACGACGCGTGCTAAACATTTTATTCCGAATCGGTTTTACCACGGCCACCATAATGCAGTGGCAATGCTGGCACACCGCAGTGCAGCTGCTGAGCTGAATCATGTAAACAATCAAACCAAGAAATATCCTTGATGTATTCACAAAAGCCACATTGAGTCTCGTGACTAATTCTCAGCTCCGTCCTGCATTAAGATGTTTGGCCAATTCCAAGCATCAGGGTTCGGCCCATGGAAGGAAACCGGAGAAACGCACACATGTTGTGGAGCTAGCTTGGTGTTGAAGTCAGTACAGAAAATTTGGCCCCACACCTATGACTAGAATAAATCAGTGTTCTCTGGGGGCATGCTAAGCGAGGTCTGCCTGTATTAAAATCTACTTCAATCTACGAATCGTAATGTAGCAATATTTTGAACGTGTAACATGCCGCATGGTTTTTCTTGATCTGGAAAGATAGAGAACAACTGATGATCTGTGTGCTGATGATGGTGGTGATGATCTCGTAATGGCTGTTCACTTCGAGGAGTGGGAGAGTTTGATGTTAAACCTGGATAGTGCCAATGAGAGGAAGTGCCTTACCATTCGCCCTACAATCAGTACCTGCCTGGATATTTTGTATGTCTTCAAGTACTCCACCCCCCTCAACTCCGCATTATAGGTAGTTGTGCAAAGAGTGGAGGTGTTCCCATACCTGGGCAGTTTGGTTATGACCGGCTCCGATATCAGAGCGGAAGTCTTACTCTGAATTAGTCCAGTGGCATAGCCTTTTTTTCAGCTGAATCGTGCTGTATAGAAGCTGCATGGCCTATCACTCCATACCCAGCTCCGGTTATTTTCTGCCACAGTTGCCCTCTCCCTCCCAGCTATACCGTCTCGAAAACAACACGTGGCCTTTGTTTTGGCGTTACACATGTAGAGGTCCTAGACACACTCTATTCGGTAACCTGCGGGGCACTATGTAATCAGAGGGGAAATGCAGTGTTACCGCTCTGGGACCAACGGCCGGGGTCAGGGAAAGGTGGGAGCGGATCGTAAACACACTTTCCCGCCAGACCAACGGCCAAGGGTTAGTTAGGGTAAAAGAGGATCGAAAACACAGATTCTAGAGAACCAATCAGAGGGTCCCACGAGGGAGCATGGGATTGGATAAGGACTGTTACAAATGGGTATAAAATGGCGAGCGCGGGGAGCGCCCGCCAGTTCTCCTCAAACGAAGACTCAAGCCAGCTCAAGATGGCTAGGACTCTGGACCAAGCCTTCCAGATATTCTAAGAGCTAAGGCTCAGTGTTACCAGTGGTCAAGGGGAGAATAGGTCCTGGCAGGCAGGACCCTGGTTCCCCAGCCTTCCAGCTCTTGTAAGAGCTAAGGCTCGGCGTGACCTGTGGTCAGGGGACCCACCGAGCCAGCGGTGGGTCAAGCTAGCCTCCCCGAGGTCCCAGCCGGAGGACGCTAGGGTAGCGGGTAGACGGATAATAGTCCCCACCAGTTAGAAGGCTGTACCTTCCTAGGCTAGCAGCCAGACCCGTGTGTAGGACCCACCAGGTACGGAGGCTGTACCTCCTGAGGCTACGGGTGAGAGAACCGCATATCCCTCTGTATGTATATTGAGACCGTGTTGGAAGAAAGACAACAAACCAGTGTGTGCTTTAATACGTTTATTCATCTGTTATTTACAACACTACAACTGGAGTCAGAAGTGGTTAAAAACGAACATGGATACAAGACACACAGTCCGTGTGCGAAGCGTGGATGGAAAAAACTCCGACTCACCTGCAGGAGCGGAGAGCGCCGCTGAAGATGTGGGCATGGAGACATCCGCCCAACTGCCTGTCCGACCGCCGACCGCCGATCGCCGCGGGCGACGAGATCCAGGCTGCACAAGGCCGTCTCGCCCAGCTGCTGCATCCTTGAAGAAATTACCTTGGGGGCTGCGGGCGGAGTGGACCGGCCGCCGGCGGACGTTCCCGCCATTACAAACCCGGAAAGGTTTGAATTTCCCGCCAAAAGGTCACGTGCTTCCACCGGAAGCGGAAATCAAGTGCACGTTGGGAACATTGACAGCCAATCACGGCACGCCACGTCATTAACGCGCGACACTGCCTCCGCAAGTCGCTCGGGCAATGCCACATCATCACGGCAGCGACGCTGTACAATAGACATCGTAGTCTAAGCAATCGCCGCGTTCGGGACCGAGTCCGAACGAGCTGAAGATGACGATACGGCTGCTCTGCAACAACATCTGCCCGTCTTCCACGAATTCACGTCCACAGGGGGTGACTGGGCGGCATTCCAGCGTCGCTTCCTCAGCCACCAAGAGATGGTGGGCTGGTCGGATGCACAGACGCTACGAGCGCTGCCGGCCACCTTAGACGACGACACTCTCGCCGCGCTCATCTCCATTCCCAAGCGACAAAGAGCAACTCAACAAGCTGCACTTCGGTGAATGTCTGATATCTATGGACCTCCTTCCACCACCCGCCACCAGTTCTATGAGAGACGGTGCAAACCTAGAGAATCGTCATTGGCGCTCCGTACTACACTACTCGCCATGGCAAGAGCGGCTTACCCCCGCATGGATGATGAGGCCATAGATGCTCTCATCCTCCAAAAGCTGCAGGAGATGGCGCGTGGACTGCGCCTTGTTATCCAAGCCATGGATGATGAAGATATGTGCTCACTGCGAGCTGCCCGGAGCATCCATGCTCACCTGATGCTTGACCAGGACGAGCCCATCACCGCATTGGCTATGACGTCGGAGCCTGCCAGCAGGGACGATGCTGGTGTGGCGTTGGTGGATCGGCCTGCAGACGCTGGGGTGGCGGTTCTGGATCGGCCTGCAGACGCACGGGTGGCGCGGTGGATCGGCCTGCAGACGTTGGGGTGGTGGCGATGCATCGGCCTGCAGACGCTGGTGTGGTGGCGGTGGATCGGCCTGCAGACGCTGGGGTGGCGGCGGTGGATCGGCCTGCAGACGCTGGGGTGGCGGCGGGGAATGGGCCTGCAGAAGTTGGGGTGGCGGCGGTGGATCGGCCTCCAAACGCTGGGGTGACGGTTGTGCATCGGCCTGCAGACGTTGGGGTGGCGGCGGTGCATCGGCCTGCAGACGCTGGGGGGGCGGCGTTGGATCGGCCTGGAGACGTTGGGGTGGCGGCGGTGGATCGGCCTGCAGACGTTGGCGTGGCGGCGTTGTATCGGCCTGCAGACGCTGGGGTGGCGGCGGTGCATCGGCCTGCAGACGTTGGGGTGGCGGCGGTGCATCGGCCTGCAGACGTTGGCGTGGCGGCGTTGTATCGGCCTGCAGACGCTGGGGTGGCGGCGGTGCATCGGCCTGCAGACGTTGGGGTGGCGGCGGTGGATCGGCCTGCAGACGTTGGGGTGGCGGCGTTGTATCGGCCTGCAGACGCTGGGGTGGCGGCGGTGCATCGGCCTGCAGACGCTGGGGTGGCGGCAGTGGATCGGCCGGCAGACGCTGGGGTGGCGGCAGTGGATCGGCCTGCAGGCCCAGGGGTGGCAGCGGTGGATCTTCCAGTAGTAGCCGACCAGTGGAGTTCGTGAACGAAATTACGCAATTTGGTGATCCTGCTGGCTTTGGCACAGGCGGTGGTGGTGGCACCAATGTTGATGGTGGTGGTGGATATCCCGGGAGAAGCTGGGGAGGGAGTGGTGCATCTACCAGCATGAGCTGCCTTGGTGGTGGCGGCGTTGGAGATGCCAGCAGCAGCCGGGGTGGCAGCGCTATATCTGCCAACATCAGCCACCATGGCGGTGGGGGTGAATGATATGCCAAAAGCAGTCGGGGTGGGGGTGTCGATGCATCTCCCAGCAGCATCCCCGATGGTGGCGGCATAACTGCATGTGGCTATCAGGGTGACGTTGGAGCCAGTGGTGGTGTTCGTGGAGACCATGGCCGTGGCTTTCTTTAGCTCCTTGAGTTGTCGACGCATCATCTCCAATTGCAGATTGAGCTTCGAATTTTCCCGTTTGTATCCTTGGGTGCAAGGAAAACATAGACAGTTTGGTCAACATTAGCCCCTACACTAGCCTTCGAATAATCGCAACTCTTCAAACTATATCGCTTATATAATGTACATCTTTTCAGTCACACCAAAAATGACATATAACACATCAGGGCTGTGACAATTACGGCTTCGTAATAGCAATATCTTGCCTGTCCACAAGCCCGTGAACTATATCTACGTACATAATTCACAAGTATAAAAACATAAGAATAGGTTTTACTCTTTCTGGCAATAAAACAGGTGTTACGATGTTCAAACAACAAATAGAAACCTTTGTAAGGAATCACATCTGCATTAACCACATACTTGTGGAGAACATGCAAACGAACTTCCTCTGATAATATATTGTCTTTGACATTGATTGGCCTACACCAGAGACAGTCTTCTTTATGGCCTAGCCTCACCAGTATCAGCCCAGAGAACGCAAAAAGGCGAATAGTACAAAGACAATTCCCTATCAGAGCATTTATAGCTCGGAGTGAGCAGCTATATCATGGGAACTTTTGCCAGTATCAAAGTATGAAAAATAGGAATAGGTTTTACTATTTCTAGCAATAAAACAGGTGTTAAGATGCAAGAGTCGGTCATCTTATGGATCTCGCAAATGGAACGAGGGAGAAAAACGTACGGACAATTGTGTAAAATGCCTGCGAATATGTTATTGTATTAAATGAAGGTGCAGCTGAAACAGGCAAAATATGATCATGTCTGAGTCAATGCCTGCGCCCCCCTTCCCGCCTTGTGCTCAGTCTCAGTACGGTCCAGGTCCAGTTGTCTGGGCTCCATGACCCAGTCAGCGCAGCCTGGCTTGCTGGAGGAGCTCAATGATGGGACTGTGTCCAGATTTTTCAAAGGATCTGTGAGCTCGCACAATCCAGTCTCTCTCTACAACCGGCCAGCCTGAATGTATCAAACCAGGCTCAGATGTTCCTTTCGAGGGCTCCACGTTTCTCAAGAATAGAGAAGGGAGGCTATAACTGTGGCCTAGAAGACCCGAAGCTTTGTATGGAGTCACAGGCTAGGTATCTTTCACACAGTGTTACACAGCTCATGGAAATATAATGCCGCTCCAATAATTCAGATTGAGACCTTGGCTGCCAAACTGAAGTTGGTTATTAGCACACTGCCCAAGTATAGAAACTTCAAACTCTCTCCACAACTGCCCCATCACACGTGCATACATACATACAGACAAACAGGCATGCACATAGACCCTTAGACTCACGAGACAAATAGATGTGCACCGAGACACTTAGACTTGCAGAGATCCATTGACTTATTCTTAGGTTTTTTCGTTAAAGTCACGTAGGTAAAAAATTAAAATTAATAAAAGTAAGTTAGCGAAAACCTATGCAGTTAGCGAAAACCTATGCAGGCCGGCACGTGCATGAGGGGGTGGGTGGTGAACACCACGTCCGACCGCCTTTGTCTCCCCAGTGGCGATGTTTTTACACGCTGTACCAGGTACTCATTTGAGGTTTAGTCGACCTCAGGGAGGGCCAGGACTGGTTTCAATAATCATTACTGGTGTTAGCCATGAGCAAGAATCGAACTCGGGTCATCGCGTTTGTAACGCAGCACGCTAACCGCTACCCCACCGTTCCCCACATAAACACGCACACGGTCCCTTGGACACATACATAGACCGATAGAATCCCTTGCACAAAGATTCACAAGTGCACACAGACACACACTGAGACCTATAGATGTGCACAGAGACACATAGAAGCGCACATATATACTTAGACACACAGAGCCACTTAAGTGCACATAAAGACAGACACACATAGCCCTTGAGACTCATGACTCACGTAGAGACCGATATACGCACTTACTGTAGCTATTGCGGACATAAAAGTAGAGCACGGCCCAGAACATCACGGACGATGCCATGAACGCCAAGATTGCAGCCATCACTGCGTCGATGCCTATGGAGGGGTTAGCTTTTGGGGGCAGCTCGCAAGGGCAGCTGTCGCAGGGATTCCCGAAGACATCTCCTTCTCCTACAGTGCTGATCCAGTTGTACAACACTCGCCATAAGAGGTCAAGCAGCACCTCGGGATTCCCCATCCTCGCTTGCGAGCTGCTGTGCGTGTCTGGCCGTTGTGACTGAGTGGCGTCGCAAGAGTGACGTCACGTCCACTATAGTGACGTCACTGCGACGTTCCGGTGGGGGCGTTCCCCTAGAGCACGATCACGTGGGCTACTGCAGCCACGCTGCTTGTGACGTAACAGACCGGCGTTCTTGAACCCCACTCTCCACCTCTACTGGGGAACTCGATTGTTCAGGGTGCTGTGTGGACTTCTCTCTCGCGTGGTCGTTGCTGCTGCCGCTGCTTCTGCTGTTCACGCATGAATACACTGACTGTGTGTTATTCACGACGTGACACCTTTCATTCATTGGCTATATCGGATGGAGGGGTGTACCAAACTTGGAGTGTGCGTGCCGAGACGACACTTGTCTGCCCGTCTTTGTTGTTGTTTATATTTTCCTCAGGGACGCTTCTCTGTCGTGTATCATTATTTATGGGGTTTTTTTGTCGAAATTTAATTCATGTCTTTAACACAAGCGGCTTGCTTTCTTCGCAAATTAGTTGTAACATTTAATTTCGTTATAAACAGTACTATGCCAATTTCAATAATAATAATAAAAGTTTATCCTTGATTAACCGGGAATCATTGCCAGTAAGGTTCAAGGAGATATTCTTCTGGAGTTCCAATTGTCTACTAAATGTGGCCCATTCATTATTTACAGTCGTAGGTGGGAGGTAGAACCTCGTCAAACTGGACAATCAGTCGTGTAATATCTCTGCCCTGTAATTTTCCTGGAAGAAAAATATTTAATGGTCTTTTTTTTTACCAAGATGGCTACACCTCTGCTGTCCAAAGTAT